ACTTTAAGTAGGTGGCTTGGTTTCCCTATTTTATCTTCTGTAAATAAACTTCCGTTTTGTTATTAAAACAAAATGTCTGTTCCTGTTTCGGAACATGCTCCAACTTTAGATTCATTACATCTGTGGCCAATAATGTGATTGCAGTTAACTAAGTGGTGTTAAATCTCAAACACTTACAAACATAAATGGTTTATTTTGATAAGTGTACTATCTTACAATAAAGATTTTAACAGATACATAACTGATTATGAATTAATTACTGAATTACAGCATTTTTGCATTGCATGGGATCAGAAGATAGCAAAATTTAAAGATGTAAGCAGGAAAATGTCCAAGCATAAAGTGCATTGTGATGACATGCTTAAGTTAAAAACTCTCAAAAATGGAGTAATAGAGCAACTTAGACAGAAAAAAATGTGCCAGGGTTTTAGACATCGGGGGAAAATAACAGATGGAAGACCTTATGTATAAAATTTAAAAAAAAACCCTACTTTTGTGCACTATGACAGGAGAGAATGTTAATCAACAGGATGAATGGATACTTGTCAACATCTCCTTTGCTAATATCATTTCAGAGACAGACTATAAACATTAGGAATATAAACCCAGCCGATTTGGCATCAATTGGGTATTGATTAGGCTTTCCTTTATCTCAAGTATTAACAATGCCTAATCATCAGATCAACATTTTTTTAGATGTTACAGCCAATTAAATGAGTTCTTTTCTGCTCTTTGCCATTGTTCTGAATCAAAAAGATCATCTCAACAGATGAAACTGCAAATGAAGCTGCAAATCAATGTAACCTGCCAGTTGAATTTTTGCAAGAATTTACAGATTTTATTCTAGTAAATGAAAATATTGCATGCATGTTCGTGTTCAGACTGTACAGTGATTTTAAAACAGTCATCATTTCTTCAATTGCTATCGATTTCAATTTAATACAATATAAAAATTATAGGATGCTCACACAATAGAAATGTGGCAATTAGATCTCAAATAAAATGTCAGCGATGCACTATATTGCCTAGGCGATGCTCAAAGAAAATTAAAAATGAACGATTTTAAATTTTTTGTGAAGCTAAGGAAAGAAAATTACAGAGCAAATGGAATGTTCTGCTGAAATCAATTTCAGAAAGCGGAGTTATTCAGAACTTAGTTATGTGAAGTAAACTCTGAATCTTACTTAACATAATCAAAAACTGAGTATGTTGTTCTTGAATGTCACACAACTCAACTAATTCTGATAAAAAGACAAATTTTTCAGTATGTTAAATAACTGTCAAAATTCAGTAATCGTGGCTTTCAGAATTGGCCAGAACACTGCTAGTTGTTGATCTAAAGGAAATTTAGTAAATATCTTTATAAAGTACGATGACATAAGGTGGATGAACACCCAATACACAAGACAGTATGGGGTGCAGCAGCTTCAAAAACCTCAGTCTTATCTCCTACTTTAGTTGACCATTGATATGGATGATAACGACAGAGGAGGTGGTATGTTGCAGACCCACAAGGTTGGAAGCTATAGCTGATTATTGTACATTTTTTGAGATCATCATCTTTTAAGGACACTCCTGATATTTGTACACTTGTAGGAGATCAAGCCTTTATCATGCAAGCTGAAAATTCTTGATTAAAACCTTAGTTGCCGATGCAAACAAGGTGATGGCAAACCGGTATACACCAACTCCTTAAAAATCAGATAGTAAGAACTGCTGATGCTGGAGTCAGAGATAACACAGTGTGGAGCTGGAGGAGCACAGCAGGCCAGGCAGCATTAGAGAAGCAGGAAAGTTGACCTTCTTCAGAAATGGGGGAGGGGGAAGGAAGCTCAGAAATAAAGAGAGAGGAGGTGTGGGGCTGGGGCTGGGGAAGGTAGGTGGGATGGTCCTTAAAAATGTTAGTTTTGAATTTACCCCATCCACTTCAATTGCTGTACAGGTATTAGTAATAGCTTGAACAATTTGAAGCTAAAAACAAATTCCTGATCTTTCCATCACTCTCAGAAAATTGACTAATGATTTGGTGACAAGGTACAATAATCTATCTCATTTTATTTGTAATTTTATCTTATTTAAGTGCTCCCCCTTCTTGTTGCTGGTGATGGTGGGGAAATGGAGGGAGGGGGGAAGAACTCTGGTGCATAGTATATTTCAGCCAATGTATTTCCCCAATGGAAATTAGTTTTCATAAAAAGAGATTAAATCCTTGAATTCTTCGACATTTCCAGGAAAAGCTGCAAGCAGATGGTCCTGTAAACTGGTGTTTATAAAATTTCTCGATTCAAATTTAAATGATTCAAATGCAAAACAGCTTTCCATTGTTATATTAATGATTAGTTCTTTTGAATAAGAGCAATAGGTACTTTACTTTGTGTTCTCAATTATCTAATTATTCCAACGTAAATTAAGAAAACATTTTCTAATCAGGGAGGAAAGACCAAGAGAATGTAAGTGATAAATTGTAATTGTCACTTTAAGGCTTGTGTTCAATAGTCTAATTGCAAGTTGATCAGAATTTCTTGCAGAACAGAGACATCTGAAGGACATCACTGCTGCAGATAAATAAATAGAAAATAACAGCAATATATCAAGTTATTAAAAAGGCAGAATTTTATTACTCTTACCACAGACCAAATATACATTCCAGCCTCAACCAAGTTATCCTTATCTATAAAATAGCATGGAAACCAATGAATAAGAAATAGGCACACAAATTTACGGGTTCTCTAATCTGTTGTATTCCAAGTCCCCACTTCTGTTTCACTTCATACAGACACTCAGGGAAGTATCTATAGTAACAGTTAATGCCTCCTCCTTGCTCAGCATGACATCATTCTGTTCCAAGAGATAGCAAGAACTGCAGATGCTGGAGTCAGAGACAACACAGTGTGGAGCTGGAGGAACACAGCATGCACAGCAGTATCAGAGGAGCAGGAAAGTTGACGTTTCGAGTCAGGACCCTTCTACAGAAATTAGACCCATTTCTGAAGAAAGATCCTGATATCACTGCTGCAGATAAATAAATAGAAAATAACAGCAATATACCAAATTATTAAAAAAGGTAGAATTTTATTACTCTCACCACAGATCAAATATACATTCCAGCCTCAACCAAGTTATCCTTACCTACAAAGTAGCATGGAAACCAATGAGTAAGAAACAGGCACACAAATTAGACCCATTTCTGAAGAAGGGTCCCAAACTGAAACGTCAACTTTCCTGCTCCTCTGCTGCTGCCTGGCCTGCTGTGTTCCTCCATCATTCTGTTCTAGTTTAATTTGCAAGAGATGGTCCCTGATAGCTCTGTGATATAGTAAAAATATCTGGAAGTTACCAGACAATTAACCAGTAACAAAGTCACACTGAGTTACATCAGCTCACCAATTGAAATGGAGATTACATTAACCTGCAAATACTTTTGCCTTATTTTAGACAATTGTATTAACTATACATATTCAAAAATTATTCAATTGAATGTTTTATTAGCATTGGAAAAATCGATGGAAGGTTTCCATCATCACTAAGTCTGTAAGTGGAAATTTATTTTCCCTTGCATTTCTCCACACAACATTTCCTAAGTCTGGATAGTTCTCACATTACAGCATGCTTTTTAACTTGCTGTTCCTTTTGAATCAAATGGAGATAGAAAGTCAAGATAAACGCAATAAAGATCAAATGTTCCATAAATCCAAATATATATTGGCACATAAACACAGCAATGTATGTAAATACAATTGTTCAAAATTGAGATGTGCAGCTCTATTAAGACCAAATTGTCTATCCCAAAATGCAAATCAGGATAATTTATGATTATCTTCCTCCACCTTCAAAACCATCTAATGCAAATTAAAAACAATGAAAACCCATGCAATACTTTCTGATCGTTACCAGATTAGTCTATTAATTGGGAAATTCTGTACAAGGATATAGTGTGTATACCAGTTATTTTTGCTACAGCAGAGGGGGAAATCAGGACTGCATGAATGTTTTCTGTTATATTAAAATTATTTTTAACAACTCAGTCCTAAAACTATTCTTCTCTGTGAATTTGTTCAAACTAACATTAAATTGGGAATGTCACAGAAAAGGTTGCTCTAACAAAAACAGAGATAGTCATTATATAACTAAAAAAAATGAAAATGTGCTTACAATGCAACAGATAATAATGCATGCTGGAATATTCTGTAGTACATGTATTACAGTGCAGTTTTCAGAAAAGTGTATTACAGGACTTGTGCCTGTCTTTACATTGTAACACCACTTTTTAAAAAATGGACTCAAGTGTATGTCAATCTGTTAGCCTTGTGTTTAAGTCAAGTGTTGAAATTAAAAGTCAAACTTGCAAAGGCTTGGCGCATCTATCAAAACACCTTACACAGCAGGGATTAGATTTTTCAATTCTTAGTTCTAGAAATTGTGTATACATTGCATAGGTGTCACATTATAAAAAGAAAATTTCAGGCTTATCAAACAGAAAAGCCTCATAATTGCTTCCACTTTGCTAAACCTGCACTTTGAAAAAATACTATTGCGAAAATCAGTTTCAATTTCTACACATGTCATTCATCTACTTAAAAAACCAACTGGATATTTACAACTGAACTATGTCAAACTTTGCAATTAAGTCACTGATTGGTTTACCATAAAGGGATTAGCTGATGACAAGAAAGGTCTTTAAATATTCACAATGTAACCAAAATTAAAAACAGAACAATTCTTCCAATAGTTTCTGACAAAAATAAAGTGTGCACAGCTGCAGCAGCAGCCTTATCTGAAAAATCCCAAAATTGTGTTGTACTGGATAGCAAACTATCCAGTTGCTATTTTTAAATATAGACAGATTCGTATTTGAAATCCAATTTCCTTTCATTACAACTGCCTCACGTTCCTAGATACCTTTGCATCATACAGTCAGAGAGTAAGTGTGTTCATGTCAGGCAACAGGAAGGACAGTTTTACACCATTCCTTTAAATATAAAAAGGTGTTCAGAACCCTGTTTCTATTACACTCCTGGGAGTCCAAAATGAAATCTTTAATTCGGTTTGATCAATAACAGACATTAAAAAAGAAAAATAAAGATCACAGTTACATTTATACAGAGCCTTTCATAATCACAGGACATCCCAAAATTCCTTACAGACAATGAAGTGCTCTTGAAGTGCTGTCCCCGTTGTTATAAGAAATGCACAGTCAATTTGCACACAATAGGATTGCACAAAATACAATAAAACAAATGACAAAACTGTCTGTTTAGGTGTTGGTTGAGAGAAAACATGGACAAATATAAAATGAAAATTATTAAAAGTTGTTTGAATGAACTCACAATAAATGATGTCTGGGCAAATGCTTTTAATGCTTGTCATACTTGTAAGAACAACATTTTAATGCTGGAAAGTGGTTTCACTAAACCCACTGATAAAAAATTGTTTTTCAATTTGTTTGTATGCCAAAGATGGAAGCTACGTAATGCTTTAATACTTCAGAATTCCATTAATAAAAAACATTGAGGCCTACAGTAATTGTTTTTCTTTATGGATTAATATCCTTGAACCTAGCAGCAGTTATTCCTTAATGTTGCTGGAGATGATGAAAGCCTATGGCTCGTTGTCCTCTAGTTCAAGCAGCTTGTCCTGCATTCACCTCAGCATTTTGGGAACAGAAGGATTACCCAAGATAAGAAACCTTTCACACATCAAAATTAGGAAATTCAAAAGCCACATGATGAGAACACAACTCATTTGAAATCTGGAAAAGATGTTACAAAGTTCTCACAGTATTACAGTATCCACTAACCACTGCAGTTTAGTGAATTTGTGCATCTGTAGACAGCCAATCACCTGCTCTAACGGCTTGCAGTTTTTAGGGAGATATACATGCTGATTTTTCAACAGTTAATTTCTTCCCTGAATTTAAAGGTACTTTATGAAATAAACCACAAACAAGTATCAACTGCAAACACTGATTTTTCCAATTGGAGTTGGCACAGACAGAAAGTGCAAGATGGCATTTTAGGGTGGAATTTTGCCACAAAGTTAATGAACTGCTTCTTTTACTGTAGATTTTTGGTCACTGTTCCATTGCTTAAAATTAACGTTCCAGGTAAAAGAAAATCATACCTTCATGGAATGACAATGAGAACCAGACTATTTGCTGTCCTATAAAGCTTAACATTGGCATGAGCACACTAAATAACAGGTAACTTTCCTTCGACTAGAGAGTGACTCAAACTTTAGAGCAGATACTGCTTTACAGATCTTTGGTCCCTCACTGGAGTAATTTTATTGTATTTAATTTTGAGGGTAGTTTAAAAATATGTACATCACATTACAAACATATCAAAAAAACTAGCTAAATTTAAGAATCTTCTAAACATATTTTAAAAAAATGAAAAAAAAACACACTTTTAAAAAAATGACCTGGTTTGAAATGACTTAATTCATATAAACATAGTAAACAATCAATCTACTGCTTTTTCGTTCGAACACATGGTTGAACAGACAGTGCAGTTCTTTTGCAATTTGAAAATTTTATATTTGTACCTTACTTGTGCAATATTAATGCAAGGAACACTTTTGTTTAGCATTTCACCCTAATGAGTTAAATACAGTGTGTCATGTTTAATTAAACCCAAGGTTGGTTTTAGGTATCTGTGATAGAGCCTCATTCAAACACACATTATTTACATAAAAGTTCATATTTGCGGATACCCAGTTATAAGTAAATTTACAGCATTTCCCTCCCACAGCAAGGAAGTGAAGTTGTTTGTGAACCAAAGCCTGAATGTACATTATCTATTGAAAAGATCTTCAGGAGATTGCCTCGTATAGGTACGTAATATTCATTTCCGTTTCCTATGTTGAAGACCCTCAAAGATCTTTGGTTCTCTTGTTCACACTTCAGATAATACTGCAGTATCTGGGAGTGATCTGAAACTACAGCAATAACTGATATCAACCATATATTAAAATTATTTTGATAAATTATTTACCAACAATGGTCTTTTTTATATTTATGGAGGAGACCTATCAACAGTAAATCAATAAAAATAAAATTTGCTTCTCATAATACCGCTGATAAACAGTGGAAAAGGTTCAGAGCTCTATGGCTGGCGAACATTAAAATGACTGATACTGAAATATAATCAATGACAGTATGAAACAATGGAATTTGTCAGCAGCTTCAAGGCCAGTTTTGGCATTCAAAAACAGAAGCTTGCTCTACCAATGCTATTGCTCCTCACCAGTCTTTCCTGCTTACCTCTGCTTTGCAAACTGTTTTCCAGCAGTTAATCTAATTGACCAAATGTGCAAATCTGTATAGTGCTAACTTTGACAAGATTGACTCGAGGCAGGGAATGGGGAATGAATGGGATCTTAATACAGGCAAGTGGATGGGGTTGTTCCGAGGTGAACACCATTGCATGAAAGCAGGCCAGGTAGAGAACTCCATCACAACTTTCAGGTTTAACTCAGTCAAGACAATGAATGGGCAACTAACCTATTCCCAAGGAGTATTTCAATATTAATAAGGCTGATAGCCTGTGTTTTAACACCCTATCAGAAACTGTCAGGAAAACCTCAAGGATCACGCATGGCCAGGTTTGATTCCACCCTCCCCATGACTGGATGTCCCTGCCATGGTAAGAGGTTTGCACTCCCATGAGTTCTGTGGCTTCCTCTACTGCATTCCTTGCCCAACTGGCCGACTTCTGTGCAGGGAACCTTTCAATGACCAATGACACACACTATGGAGTTAAAATTCTACATGTGGGGAAGCCCGATATTATACTTCCACACGTCTCCCCAGAAAGCAAGGGTCAAATCCTATTGTTTTAGACGTCCACACAGATCTTAGAATAGTGAAGCTATGTGCAGCATTGAGGGAATCCATCCCTGGATGGTGATCAAAAGAAAAATTTTAGCAGAACTCTGGGTTCTGAGAGTCCAATTTTGAAACCTTACTCCCTGTTGATATCAATACTAACCATAATTTTAACTTGAGGCTTTGTTTGACTGCAGAGATTGATACCACAGCATTATGAACCAGCAGGGGAGATTTCCCTCGATTAATTTTAAAATAATTAAATTAATGTATTAAAAACTTGGACTTCTTAATCCTAAAAGTAAGTAACAACTTTTGTATTTTACACATCATTTTTATCCTCACACGTTGGGGTTATTAATGCTGTGTATCACATTTCTATTGAAAAGGAGAAGAATCTGATTCCACATCTTTTCAAGTGACAGTGGTCATTAGCAGATTTGCAGTGACCTTATGAAACTCTCTTCTTATGTGAAAGTACCAGACCTCTGCACATCTATGGCCATAACGTAAATAAAGCAAAATGCTTGTTGAGGTACATGCTAAAACTCTACCTTTCCTAAGGAAAACGCTCTATGCCATATGCTATTCCAAAATGATTGCTAGTGATGTTCACCACCAGTCAAAAACAAACACAAAGTGCTGAACAGCAATGTAGGTGCTCAATTTTTCTTGCTGACTTGAGACTTCACTGGTTTCTCTTGCTATTTACAATGCATTGGAAAGCTGTCACTAACAAAAACCACACAATGCTACAGCTTCACCATATAACAATCTTAATTAATCTGCAGGATGTCTTTTCATTCATTGATAAATGTAAGGATTTTAGAGATCTGAATGAGCTCATAAACTACTTGAATTTTGGATGGGAAGTTTGAGACTATTTCTTACTCAAACACCAAAAGCTAGCATATTTCAATATGACTACATTTTTGCTCTATTTTCCTACTGAGTTTAAACACAAATCTGTAATCAGTGAAAATGAATGGGGCTTATGAATACTCACCTATGAATGCTAAAACAGCATCACAGGTCAGCTAAGACTCCATTTCAACAGTCACAGAGGTAGTGCCACTTGCAGTTGCTGAACAGAAAAAGCAGTTACACTTTAGAGAAAACAAATATCTGATTTATTAAAGAAAATTATCCTATGTTTTCTGTAAGTTTACATTTAGTATTGTAAGCACATTACATTGAATCTAGAAATATACTGTTTTATATTATTATATACCCCACCGTGCTTCTGGCACTCATTCCTTAGCAAAATTCCCCTTCTAGTACTAATTGAGCATTCTTCATTGCCGAGCAAGTTGCTTGACTAACAGCAGAACATGAGAGACAACCCTGTCCTCATTCAATATTTACAGCCACACATTCTTGCAGAAGAGCAAACTATTAGGAAAACTGGCTTATGTTTGCCACTTCTTTAGACTGAGGGCACGAAGGCCAATTCCAATTACTCACCACTGCTTGAGTTTATCAACAAAGAACAAGGATCAAACTTTAATCTTTTTTTACATGGCTCCACATCATGTCAAGTGGTGTATTTTACTAACTACACTCCGATTGCTCTTTCTTAATATCCAGTATAAATGATATAGAATTTTCCTAAATGGCAAGAGGCTAATGGTCAAACGAGCTGAAACAGATAATGCTTAGCAGAAAATGGAGTGCGCAATAGCTGTTTCATCTATGAGAATTACCATTCATCTACATGAAGAGAAAAACAATTAGAAGTAGCCAACAAAGATCTTAAAACGGACAGTTATTGTTGACAAATTTCAGTGTTCTTTAAGACAGGGATCAAATTCATGTTTATTTAAATTGAAGTCATGTCTTGAGATTTCTCAAGGGTTACTTTGATTTTCACTAACTCCTTTGTTAGGTGAGAAATCTATTACCATTATCTTCTGTATTTGTATTCAAATTTTTTTATTCACCCACAGGATGTGGGCATCTCTGGCTAGGCTAGCATTTATTGCCCATAGGACAGTTAAGAGTCAACTACATTGCTGTGGGTCTGGAGTCACATGTAGGCCAGACCAGGTAAGAATGAAAGATTTCTTTCCCTAAAGGACATTAGTGAGCCAGGTGGGTTTTTCCAACAATCAACAATGATTTCATGGTCATCATTAGACCCTTAATTCCAGATTCTTTACAGAATTCAAATTCCACCATCTGCCATGACAGGATTTGAAACAGAGTCCCTAGAACATTAGCTGATCATTCTGTATTAACAGTCCAGCGATAATATCATTAGGCCATTGCCTCCCACATATGGGATTTTTGGGTTGTCAAAAACAGAATTAGAAGAATTGATCAATACCCTAAATAAATGATCAACCCTCTATTAAGCTAAAAACCACAACATACAGAAAGTGTTCTATTTTACATACACCCCAGTATTTGAAGTGGCACAAGACAACAACAATAGGTTAGAAACAAAATATCTTCTTTCAGTAATTGACACACACTTCATCTCTGTGACTTCAACTTTTCGTGGCTCCCAAAAAATGGAAAATATATTTTACTCTCTCAAAAACCAAGAAATGTAAACAGACACAATACCATTCTTAAGATTTATTAAAGAGGATTGCACATACTGCTACTGTGCTCTGCTATTACATCCTTCATAATAGACTGTAACATTTTCCCAATGACAGATGCCAACTGGCCTGTAGTTATTATTTTTGTATCCCACCATTTTTGAATAAACATGTTACACTGGGAGTTTTCTAGAATCTAAGGATTCTTGGAAGATCACAACCAGAGGATCAAGTAGCTCTACAGCTACTTCCTTTAAAATCCCAGGATGCAACCCATCAGGTGCAGCAGACTCAACACTTTTAGCTCCATTAGCTTCCCAGGTATCTTTTCTCAAATGATTTTGTGTTTATTTAACCCCTTGATTATTTAAGATTTTTGTAATACGACTGGTACCCTCTACCGTGAAATCTGATGCAAAGTACTTGTCCAGCTCCTCTGTCATTTCTGGTTGAAAAAAAGAGTGCAAAATACTCAATACAGGACAGATATAAAGAGAGAGTGTGGTATAAAGAAAGTCTTCATGCTCCCTACCCATTCCTTTGGCCCCTTATGGCTCTATGTTAACAATGCCAACTCATGCCAAAACATGCCCCAGTCTACCATCATTTGCCCTTACATCCAAAGAAACCCAGCATTCACCACAGGCAGACTTCAGAAGCTGTGTTAAGATTAAATAATGATCAAAATATCTATTACAGCTTTCACTGTAATAAATAAACATCACCAGACATGAAAGCCCATTCAAATCTTTAAAACACTCTCAAGGGCTCAATTCCTAAACTCAAAACAAACAGACGCGTACACATAACCACCACATCCTCCATTAATAAACTATTCAAATTGTCAACTGAACTGTGAATTTACAACCCTCCCACTGGGATAATAGTAGGTTGTGGAAAGCAGCCAATCATTAATAATGACACAATGACTGCCCTCATGATAATGACAATAAATAGCTATTGTAACTGCTCCAATCAATATTTTTCAACTGTGATGCAGGCTAGCTTATCAGTTTAAATTTTGAAAGGTTTGGAAATTTAAATAGCTTGACAGCTTGCCAGTTCTATATGCTTATCCACCATTTGTGAGTATTTATATCTTCTCTGTAAACCCGAGACTCCTGCACAGTAGAATAACACCTTACGACAAAGAAAATGGGGCCTGCAAATACTCAGTTCAAATGCTGAGTTCAGATTTCTCACCTGTGTTTCTCATGCCCCTGGTGCCTTTACCTTAGCGGCAAAATTGGGATGTCAGAAATGGAGCAGGATGCCTAGATCTGGGTCCTATCTGTTATTTGTAAAGGTCAATGGAGTCTCCATAAAAAGTACTAATCAACCCCTGGAACTCTGATTTCAACCTTTATTGTGTTCTTTGATTGAGAGAGTAATGCAATACTGATGGCATTATTCTGAAGCATTTGAAATGTTGGCTGGCTGAAGATTGTCAGTCCAGCCTGTTCCTGAAGCAACTGCACAAGATTCAAATTTAATTAATCAGAAAGGATGATTTCTGTAATTAAATCATTATAACTTTGAAGCACAATTCTAATCATCCTACCTGAGTATTCCACATCTGATTCTCCCTCGTCCCAGTGCTCCTCATTGGACAGTAATGGATTGTGACTCTCTGACTGCGATTTCATGGGGAAGGAATGCCCATCGCCCACACTGCAAGTAAAATTTTAGAAATTCAATAATGAGGAAGATTATATTTAGCAGAATGCAGAGTTTGAGTCTCAGCACTTAGCCCAGCACTGATGACTAAATTTAAACACAAATGTTTCTTGGGTCCCTGATGGTTCAAGCCTGCATAAAGCTAAATGATTCAATGACATTTGTCATAAAGATAATGTACAATTCAGTCACGGGGAAGCGACATTTCACTGAAACCCTTAACCAGTGACCTTCTACACCCCATTACATTCTGTTTGTGCTTGGTCTAAAACCAGACACAATATTATAAATGGACATCAGTAACAAATACAAGCCAACATGGTATCATACCTGGTAAAGATAGGAAGCAGCCAGTACTTTTTTTTTGGTCCGAATACTTGTGTTAAATTTTTCCACACACCCAGGTTAAAACCATTTTTATCAGCACCGTGCTGAAATACTGGTGCAGAAAAGGCCTCTAGAGGAACGGAAACAAAGAAAACAAATAAAGAAAAATTTCACCATATATGTTTTTAAACTTTCAAAAGCAACCTGATGGCACAAGTACTGAAGGAGTAGCTAGTCATTTCAGTTGGCTGGTGGCTGTACGAACAGATGGAAAATTGTTCAGTTCTCAGAGTACTTCTGAGAAGATTATATATTCTGGTAAAACTAGAAGATCAAACTGGTAATTTATTGACTGTTTCCATGAGTTGTAGCTTTCCAATTTTAATAATGGTTTTTCTTCTTTACTGATCGTCTTCTACCGTCATTGTGGGGTTAGTTAGCTTAATTGGCTGGATAGCTGGTTTGTGACGCAGTGTGATGCCAACAGTGAGAGTTCAATTCCTGCACCAGCTGAGGTTACTATGAAGGATTCTCCTTCTCAACCTCTCCCCTTGCCTGAGGCATGGTGACCAGCTGTCTCTCTCTAATGAGAAAGAGCAGCCCTATGGTCCATTAGGACTATGGTGACTTTACCTTTACAGTCACCTCATTTTTAAGACTATGAATGTTGGCTTCCTCCATTTTCAGCATTCCTCAGCTAAAGGAGAACTTGGGTTGCTGGATTGGAGATAAATACAATTACAAAACTGGCTACCAGGTCTTAAATAATATGCCTTAAATGGGTTGTGAGAGTTGAGTACACTTAAATTCTCTTCTCAATGTTCCTTCCTTCTTTTTTGTTCTGTAACACATCAAAATAAGAATTTATAATGCTACAAGTCATAGTGTCCAAAGCTGCACCCAACAAGTTCACTAGATCTCAGGTACTACTTTATTTTTCCTATCTTTATGAAGGGCTAGTTCAGTTTTGACAGTCTTGAGATGTGTTATTGCAGGCTGACTCACAATATGATACAAAAAGGCAAGCTTACAAAGAAGATGGCACAATGATCCACATTATAGCTAATTGTACTACAATTTGGCCTTTACCATTATGTGTATAAACAGATGAATAACAGTTTGCATAAACACACCAAGTTTCCTCAGAAAGAAAACTTGCAACTTTTGTTCCATCATGTGGCGGCACGGTGGCTCAGTGGTTAGCACTGCTGCCTCACAGCACCAGGGACCCGATTCCAGCCTTGGGCGACTGTCTGTGTGGAGCTTGCACATTCTCCCCATGTCTGCATGCGTTTCCTCCCACAGTCCAAAGATGTGCAGGCTAGGTGGATTGGCCATGCTAAATTGCTCGTAGTGTTCAGGGGTGTGTAGATTAGGTGGGTTATAGGGGGATGGGTCGAGGTGGGATGCTCTGAGGGTCAGTGTGGACCTGTTGGGCCAAAGGACCTGTTTCCACACTGTAGGGATTCTATGATTCTACGACCTACTGCAACCCACACTAAACAACAAACTTTTATCACAATAAGTGGTTTACTGAAGAACATATAGGATGCTCAATACAACTCCATTGCTTCACAGGTAGAAAATGCCATATTGTTAGGTGATAAGTTGTTGAACCTACTGTTCCAGCTTATTTGTAGGTATAATACCACATAGAAGGAGAATTGATTATCTCTCCAGTTGCTTTGTCAAACCTTCGGAAAACTTGTCTCAGCTTGCACATTAGTAAATGCTGCTCATTGAATTCTACCACCTCTCATAAGAGTAAGATCACAATGAGTCAAAACTGAGTGAACTGGAAGAACTGAGGACATTGTTGCTAAATCTGCAGATGACACAAGGATAGGTGAAGGGAGAGAGTATTGAGGAAATGGGGAGGCTGAAGGAGGATTTGGATAGGCTAAGAGAGTGGACAAAGAAGTGGCAGATGGAATATAACGTGGGAAAATGTGAGGTTATGCACTTTGCTAGGAAGAATAGAGGTGGAGACTATTTTCTAAACGGAGAAAGGCTTCAGAAATCTGAATCATGAGAGGACTTAGAAGTTCTAGTCCAGCATTCTGTTAAGGTTAACATACAGGCTGAGTTGGCAGTTAGGAAGACAAATGCAATGTTAACATTCATTTTGAGAGGGTTAGAATACAATGGATGTACTGCTGAGGCTTCTCTGGTCAGGCTGTATTTGGAACAATGTGAACAGTTTTGGGCCCAGATCAAAAGAAGAAGTGCTGACTTTGGAGGGCGTCCAGAGGAGGTTTACAGGAACAATCCCAGGGATGGAGGGCTTGTCATGAGCAGTGGTTGAAGACTCCGGGTCTGTACTCGATGGACTTTAGAAGGTTGAGGGGCATCTCACTGAGACTGAGTGGACATTGAGAGGCCTGGATAGAGTGGATGTGGAGAACGTTTCCGCTATAGGAGAGACAAGGACCCAAGGGCACAGCCTCACAGAGTAAAGGCTGTTTCACATTGAGGAGGAGGAGGAATTTCTTAGCCAGACGGTGGTGAATTTGTGGAACTCATTGCCGTAGAAGGCTTTGGAGGCTGAGTTACTGAGTGTATTTAAGACAGAGATAGATACGTTCTTGCTTATTAAGGGGATGAAAGATTAATGGTAGAAGGCAGGAGAATGGGGTTGAGAAAATATCAGCCATGATCGAATGGTGTAGTAGACTTAATAAGCTGAATGACCTACTTCTGCTCCTACATCTTACAGTTTTATGTATGTCCCTGGGTTATTACAATACATTCCCTTTGAGTTTTAAGTAGGTTGTTTGAAGATAGTTACACCAATTCTACTCCATGGCAACAAAATCAATTCTAAGCTGGATCTCCATGTTCTACAGATACTCTAACAAAACTAGGTAGGCCTGTGAGTTGTGAGGAAAATGTAAGGAGGCTTCACGGGGATCTAGACAAGTTGAGTGCATGAATAAACTCATGGCAGATGCAGTACAATGTGAATAAATGTGAAGTTATATCATTTGGTGCAAAAAAACAGGAAGGCAAAGTATTATTTAAATAGTGATATACTGAGAAATGTGATATACAAAAGCTTGGAGGCATCCTTGCAACCCTTAAATCAAATTAAATAGGTAGGTGCAGCAAGTAATTAAAAAGGCAATTAGTATGTTGGCCTCCATTGCAAGAGGATTTGAGTTCAACAGTAGAAATTTCATAATGCAGTTATACAGTGACCCAGTAAGACTGCACTTGGAATAGTGTGTACAGTTTTAGTCTCCCTACCTAAATGAGAAAATACTTGCCAATAATGGGATTGTAGCAAAGATTCACTAGACTGATACCTGGATGGCAGAACTTTTGTATGAGGAGAGATTAGTTCAGTTGGAATGGTGTTCACTAGATTTTAAAAGAATGAGAGGGGATCTGATTTAAACATGTAAAATCCTAACAGGACCAGACACACTAGATGCAGGGAAGATGTTTCCCCTGGTTGGGAGTCTAGAACCAGGGTTCACAGTCTTAGGATACAGGAAAGGCCATTTAAGACTGAGATGAGGAAACATTTCTTCACTCACAGTGGTCAATATGTGGAATTTGCTACCACAGGAATCTGTGGAGACCAGGCCACTGAACAGATTTTTAAAAAAGACGCTGATGATGTCTTTAATATCTAAAAAATTAAGAGGCACTGAGGTAAAGCAGGAATATAGCATTGAGATAGACAATCAGACACAATTATATCGAATGACAGAATAGGGCTGAAGGGCCAAATAGCTTACTCCTGTTCCAAGTTCCTATGTTTCTGACAATCACGTGTGTTAATATTAACAAGTCAATTGCAAACATTGTCAGGGAAATAACTTTTGTTACTATCGTCATTAAGAGATAACGTTTAATTTGATTACTTCTTCATTTAATGGTAAGAGATAACAAAAACAGTATTTCTAAACGACACTACACTTTTTCATTAATAGTGCACAATATTGTAGACTTGCTGCTCAACTCTTACCTAATGTAGATCTGTTCAAACTGACCAGCCAACAATGGTAACTGAGGAGGAACATGAGGCTGAGGAAGAACATGACAGCCACAAAGAGAAGAAAGAGTACATGAAATTTTGCACGACCATCAGACAGACCACCCTGTCAAGCAAATAAAAAGTTAGTGAATGAGATTGGTCTTCCATAACTGAGAGACATTAAAAAAATACATTTCTGAAGCTTAATTTATTCACTTATTTGAAATCAAGTTTTACGCAGTGAAAAAAAATTACTGGTATTCCATGCATTTTAATAGGTGCTCGGTCATATATTTAATAAATCAGGTTAAAGACAAAACTTGATGCAGCACTATGCAGTTGAGAAGATCTTACTTCAATTTGCAATGTGTAATAAGTTAACTGATTTTAGTCTAGCTGGTAGTTACTGTACCACAATTGTTCTCTATGCCCCTGGGTGAGGAAGGTGGTGAGATAGAGAAAAGTCATCTAGCATTCCCACTTTTGCCCACTATCCAATAGCCTTGTTGAAATATATCAATGTTGAGTGAGGACAGAGTTACAAAATAGAACTTACCGTCCAAAACATGATGAAGTATTGCAGAACAGTGGTAGCAACGAACAAGCAGTACAGCATGGAATATCCCAAAAAAAGAAGAAAAAATTTGTAGTTTGAAAATCCAATACAGTTATTCACCCTAAAAGGAGAGAAAAAAATCAAGACAGGGTCTTTTCATTCATAATCATAAAGACAGAAAGATCTTGCCATAAAAGCAACAGTTTTCAAGATCCCAGATGTCCCAAAGCATTTTACAATCAATTAACTACTTTTGAAATATAGTCACTGTTGCAATATAGGAAATGTAGTTACCAAATGAATATGGTGTAATTCCAAACAAAGTGAGATTCTGACTGAACATTCTATTTTTGTATTCAGTTCATTGACAAATAACTGAAGAGGACATGAGGGTGAACTCACCAGCACGTCTCTGAAAACAGTTGACACAACGATAAGTGCCCATGCTTAATCAATTGTTTAAGAAATTATGCATATTATGCATATAAGGGTGTAAATGTAAACGGACCCCCAAAATAAATGATATTACAGGCAGTCCCAGGTTGCAAATGGGTTCCGTTCTTGAGTCCATTTGCAAAGCGATTCATATGCAGTTGGAACACAATATAGAACAATATAAAATAGCTCTAAGTACAAGGAAACATTTGCATGTTGGGTACTTAAAATTCATATCAATACACCCTTGTACAGGTTTGCGTTCATAAGTATGAGCATTCGCAAGTTGGATGTTCATAAATTGTATTTTGTTTTGAATAAAATGGAAACTTGATTCGAAAAAGGATTTTGTTAAAGACAATAAACAGTGGGAAAATCTACTTTCATGGATTTGCTCATCTGAATCCAATGCTCCACTCAGTTATTTGGGAGGGAGGTTAACTGGTAATGCATGCAATCAGATAAAAGTGAAACTTCTCAGGTCTTACAAATTAAGTAGTATTAGAATAGCAATGTTAAATATATTTAAATTTATGTATTAATTTTCCAAACTAAAGCTTTTCAGCCAGAGCGACAACTGAATAAGTATTCTTGAAGGGCTTTCAAAGTTTATCACCAAGAAGATAACATGGTAAAAATTAATCGGAGGATTACTTGAACAGAATGTACAATTTAAGTGATTATTAAACAGTCTTAAATCATGACAGGATAACTCTACAATCCACGCATTTAACACCAAGAGAGAAAATATTGTGTGGAACAAAAACGCAACGGAATTATAAAGGGCTTCTGAACTGATCTTGACCATTGTCACCGATGAGGGTTAGAAGGTCACTAAATATAAATTTGAACCTACCACGGACAATGATGATCCATTTTTAACACACATCTAAGAAACAAAGAGAATAATAAAATCCAGTAAGTGATAGATACCGACAGACTATTTTTAAAAAGTAACACTCAAATAGTCCAGGAGAAATAATTGTTGGTCTTTCTGTAAAATGAATTCCAAATAGCGTAAAAAATACATTTCATTTGACGATTTTAACTATCTATCATGCATTTTCTTGCAGTAAATCTGTGATCTACTTATGCCAGGATGCTATTTTATCCCTTTAAGTCTAACTAATATACTTATGCTTTTTCCCACCCTGGTATTCAGGTTATTTGAAACAAAGTTAAATTCAGGACAAACATCAGCTACCATGTTGCTTTTCCCTGCAATGTAGATAACCTTTAAGTGATCGGGCTGCAATTGTAAACTACATTGAAATAGTCCGATATTCTGTGTTTTAAAAAATTTTTCCACAAAGGTTTGCTTTGTAAGATCAGAATGCACCAATGTCTCCCTATATCAGTGGTATGTTATGCCTCACTGGGAAAGCATGCTGGAAATAAAGCTCCATTATTTCCAAAGTCATCAAAAATGTCAAAGACTTTTTAAAAACCACAGAAACCCCTATTTAGCTGACTTTAAGACTACTGACAGAAAGCACAGCCAGGTTTCTGTACTTACAAGGATGACTATTTATTTCAATAGACTCTCGCTATACATAAACAATTATTACCTGTAAGCATATAACTTTATTAGTAAAAACTCTAACCCCCTAAAAAACACCCCCTCTACACACACATATAGACAGACACAGGCAGAGAAAAGATGAAGAAAAGACTGGGATGATAGTTTGGAGGTCCCTGGCCACAGTTTTTGCTGAGACGATTCTTGTACCAATCAGAACGCTATTTCTTGATCTTCCTTCTCTGGATGCTTTCACTTGTTTGCAGGAAGCACAAGGTGCACTGGCAAAACCGGTGTGCTTTACAAAGTATTATGCAAGGACTGTGAGAAACACTACCTAGGCCAAACCGGAAGAAAACTGACAAAAGCGATTCACGAACACCAATTCGTCACCAAGAGACACAACCAATTCTCACTACACATGGACAATGAGGGACACGAATTCGACTGGGACAACATATCCATAATCACACAAGCTAAACAGAGACATGCCAGGGAATTCCTGGAGGCCTGGTACTCTAACCGGGACTCCATCAACAAACACAATGAATTAGACCCTGTGTACAAACCACTGAGAAACAGAACCGGAAGTGGTAACAACCACCCAGCAAACTGAAGCTATAAATAACAAGCGGGACTAAACACCGACACTTCGCGAGAGGGGCACAGACGATGTTACCTAGCAGAGCGACGAAATGCTTACAACCAAACCCACTGGCTCGGCGAGCAGGTGCACAACCTCATAGAAGGAATTGTTCTATAAAAGTCCCTTGTGACTCTGGTGGTAGGCTGAGGTTTAGCTGTGTCTTATTCAGACCACTCAAAACTTTTTCTTCTTGTCAGTCTTCTGGAAGGTTGGAGCTTTTCCACAATCTGGCACGCATAGCGCATTTAGCAAAACTGAATTGCATCCTTGTGGAGGCAAGGGCAGAAAATGCTGACTTGTGTGTGTTTGGGTTTCAGATCCCTGCATGCCCAACCACAGGAATTTTGTGGGCTATCCACAAAATCTCCTAATATGTTAAGTTGAAACTCCTATCTGGTGAGCCATTATTCACAGGTCTGTGAGGAAGTCAGAACCTCATTATTAACATGGTATCCTCGTTATTAACATGGTCCCATTTCAGAACACCCTCTGCTTTAGTTTCAACTTGAGCAGAGAAGACCTAATTATCATTGAGTTCAGGCCAGCCAGGGGGAGACGATGGCCTAGTGGTATTATCGCTGGACTGTTAATCTAAAGACCCTGGATAACATTCTGGGGACGTGGGTTCGAATCCCACCACAGTAGATGGTGGAATTTGAACTCGAAGTATCTGGAATTAAGAATCCAAAGATGACCATGAATCCATTGTTGGAAAACCCCATCTGGTTCACTAAAGTCCTTTTGGGAAGGATACTGCTATCCTTACCTGGTCTGGCCAACGTGTGACTACAGACCCACAGTAATGTGGCTGACTCTTAACTGCCCTCTGGGCAATTAGGGATGCGCAATAAATGCAGCCTAGCTAGTGATGCCTTCATCTCATGAACGAATTTTAATAAAAAGCCAAATCCCTGATCAAGCTTTTAGACAACCAAAGGCAGTCATCTGTCTGTAGTGCCAATTTAGCCTCAAGCAATGGAGCTTAGTTACCTATCAACCAGGTCATTATACATGAATGGGACAATATTTAGTGTCTTTTTCTGTAAGTGCTTGGCCTCCTTAATCTCACTTGGTCTTCGTCAGACTACTGGGAAAGCCACTATTCGCTCCTGTCAGTTCAGTCCCTTGAAGTTGGTCTACCCTGTCCACAGGCAAATTATATGTAATCCCTACATTAGAGGCCCAGACATTATGGCGCACTCAAGTTGCGCCCAAAAGGTATGGGCATGTATTGCCGCTAATATCATTTGTTCAAACCTTGGCATTCAATGCACTCTCCGGTGGAAAAGTCATGCCTTTTCCCAGTAAAATAATTTTGATGCCCTGTATCCCCAAATATGACTATGGGTTTATCTGTTTGACTCGAGGTGTAGGGAGCTATTTTGCCTTTTGAAAAGGATTCCCTTTAACTGTTAGAGATCTTGTTCATCTCTCCACAACCACAACAACATATTTTCTTGGCCTTAAGGTGTGATGAATGCACTCTTTCCTGAACTGACCTGGATGTATCCAATAAATCCTACCTGCTTACCAGCAATCTTCCCACCTAGGTTTTTGGACATCACCTCCACCCTCAGAATTTTCCTTTGTGGCCTGTGGAGGAAACCCCTTTTCATTCTCAGCTGTCCTTTTTTGACCCTGACCTTCCTTTTACTCACCCACCTTCTAGCCACCTCAGGTTGTGGGTGTGATGGTAAAAGGTTCCTATTGGGGCAAGGGCTTGTGGACAACCCCGTAATCACTGGCCACCGTGGCTGCTTACTTGTTGAAATTCTTTTTTAAAAACTGCACTCACGGGATGTGGGTGTCATTGACTGGGCCAGTATTTATTATAGTCCCCTAGTTGCTCTTGAGAAAGTGATGATGACCTGCTTCCTTGAACCACTGCAGTCTATTTGGTACAGGTAGCCTCCAAACGCTGTTAGAAGAGAGTTGGAGGAGTTTCACCCAGCAACACTGAAGGAACAACATTACATTTCTGGAAGATTAGCACCGAGGGGAACTTGTAGGCGGTGGTGTTCTCTGCATAGTACTTAAGCTGCCAAGAATGGAATAATTAAAGTCACTGATGTGTAAGAGGCCAGAATTCAAGGTTTACAGAGATAGGAGGAAAAAAAGGAGAATGATAAGTTCTATTGAATTAAAGACCCAAACTATGTTTGAGGAAGGTTTAATGCCAGAGAAATAATCCAGGAACCTATCTTGGCCTCAGAAGGACAAAGTAATTTTCGATCTATGACTCAATTTAGATTATGTGACCTACTGAGATCAATATTAATCATTTGACCTTTCAACAGTTTGGCAGAATTATGCTTTCATCCTTTCCCCATTGTATACAAAATTTTTCCAAGCTTCCCTACATTTTTTATTCATTTCATGTTATGCTGCAAGTGTTTCACTGTCCTCATCACTTTGGCAATACTAATGTGATGGAAACATCAAGAAGGTAATCCGTTCACAAACTTCTACTAACTGTGCTCTCAACTATTTGTGAGCTTCTGTGAAGGCAGTACAGATTCGTTTATTCACTACTGCATGCAACTTCATTTTGGAAATATGCCTTGCCATACGTGATGCATCTAAAGAATTTAGTATTGATTGGAACTTAACTATCGAGAGAAATACATTCTAGTTTGTGATGGGGAAAGTGAAACAAACATTTATCGCGTCAGAGAATTACTGTAATTTTACATATGATAAACATCAGTTTGTAATGTTTAATAATTACATTTAGTCATTTGTTCAGTGCTGGCTTGAATGTATTATACATTTCTTGTGAACTTGTAATGTTCTCAATATGATTTTATGAATTTGATTATCACCACCTCAACTTAAAGTATCTGCTGATAAATCCAATGATAAATTCCTATTGCATATACTCACTTCATTTTTTTTTAAAAAATGTGCATGCAAAAGAAAACAGATTCTTAAAAAAAATCAAAATCTACTTTATTTAACAGCTTTTTCTCTAATTTTTCTCAAGCTTTTTATCATTCTTTATTTCAATTCATTTAAAAGATTTTGCTGCTAATGCGCATGCTCCTGGGTGTCAGCAAATGGAGCCTAACATTTTTTTTAAAAAACCAGTGCAGTGCAAGGCATTTCAATGCATTTTGTCAGTTTTGCAAAGATGAAATTAGATTCAAAATGAAGAATTCTAACACTACCTGCAAAGCACAGACAGATGAAAACCACACAGAATGCACTTTTACAAGTAATATTAGTGTCCTGGGAAGCAGAGATTCATGAGAATCACGAACCAGAGGCAGGAGGTGCAGTCAGCAGAACAAACACTCTTCAACAGACGGTAAAACTATGCCCTTAATTGCATGGTAACACTTAATATACAACTACAGACAAAATATCTATTGCATGCAAGCAGTTGGTTCTCAATTGAGCTGCACTGCATTCAAATCAATGCAATTAAACTTTATCGGTGGTTAATATTTGTTACAATTGCAAGTGCGATGTATAGATTCCAGAGCATACCTAATATACTTCATGCAAGAATGTGGTTATCTAAGCAACTCATTCCTAACTGTAGATTTTCTTAGTGAAAAAACCTAAAATACGTACGTATCACAGATGGAGCAGTGATGGCAGCGATCAGGCTTAATCAGTTGACATCGGTCACAGTATCGGATGGCTAATGAGAACAGAAATCAAAGATCAGAACCATCAAATATATTTGAAAATACTTGCACATCCTGCAATTCCAATCCAAAGAATTTTTAAAATTAAAACTTCCTTAAAAATTTCCTGTTTAATCATTACTATTTCATAGAATTTAATTCGAAGCAACTCAGAGAAATTGTGGCAGCTTTCTTTGCAGAAGATGAAGACTGGCTTTGATAGACCCACTTAGAATCTGTAGCATCTAAGTACAGAGGGAGAAACTGCACGTCAACCAAGAAGCAGAGGACAATGATTTAAGGTAGTTCGCAAAAGAAACAAAGGGTGACAAGAAGAAACTTCTTTTTTTTATGCAGAAGAGATCAGGATCTGGAATCTGTTAATGATTTATTGATTATGCTATTAAAGATACACAGGAGATAGGCACTGTTTGAAGAACAACTGAGACCACAATGGTGGTGACTGATTGTGTTACTGGGCTTGTAATCCAAAGGCCCAGGCTAATGCTCGGGAGAACAAGAGTTCCAATCCCGAAACAGCAGGTTTAACAAATTGAAGCAGGTGTTGTGGTGTAGTGTTCGTGTGAGCTAGAAGGTCTGCGCTCAAGTCTCAGCATGTTCCTGCCCTAGTGAACTTATTTTGTCCTATTTTAATTCTATGTTTCTCCCCTTGTTCAGTCTTTTCTTGCTTACATTCACGATTCTTTTTGTTAGTTCTACGGTTTCCAGTTTTCTGGCCCCAGCTGCCTCCTCTTTACCATGGATACACCAATCTCTGTACACCTCCATCTCCCATCAAGATGATCTTGAGAGGATACTAGAGAGGGAGGGGGAGGATCCAGTTGTTGTGGTGCACGTAGGTACCAACAACATAGGCAGGACTAGGAAAAAAGACCTGTTTCGGATTATGAAAAGCTAGGAACAAAATTAAAAAACAGGTCTTCAAGGGTCATAATCTCTGGATTGCTGCCCAAGCCACGTGCAAATTGGAATAGGGAGGCGAGGATCAGGGAAGTAAACACGTGGCTAAAAGAGTGGTGTGGAAAAGAGGGTTTCCTTTTCATGGGGCACTGGCATCAGTTCTGGGACAGGAGGGATCTATATTGCTGGGATGGACTCCACCTGAACAGGGCCGGGTCCAGTGTTCTGGCGAAAAGGGTAAATAGGGTGGTTAATAGGACTTTAAACTAATAAGTAGGGGGGAAGGGAGAAGTGAGCGTAGAGGGAGAATAACAATTAATGTAAGGCAAAGCAGCAGGTTAGCAGGTGATAAGGAAGCTTCAACTCCATTGAAAATTAGGAAAAAAGTTAAAGGGAAGGAGAACTCAAGGGTTGTTAGTAATGGAGGTAATAGGACCCAAAAAGAAGGCGCAAAAACTGGCATAAGGGCACTTTATCTGAATGCTCGGAGCATTCGAAACAAGGTGGATGAGTTGACGGTGCAAATCATGGCAAATGGGTATGACTTAGTGGCCATTACAGAGACATGGTTACAGGATGGTCATGACTGGGAGTTAAATATCCAGGGGTATCAAACTGTTCGGAAGGACAGACAGGAAGGTGAGGGAGGTGGTGTTGCTCTGATTTTTAAGGATGATATCAGGGTGGTAGTGAGACATGATATAGGTTCTACTGAACAAAACGTTGAATCCATTTGGGTGAAAATTAGGAATAGCAGGGAGAAGAAGTCACTGATAGGTGTGGTCTATAGGCCACCAAATAATGACACTGTGGTGGAGCGGGCAATAAACATAGAAATAGCTAATGCATGTAAGAATGGTACAGCAATTATCATGGGGAATTTTAATCTTCATATCGATTGGTCAAACCAGGTCGGTCATGGCAGCCTTGAGGAGGGTTCATAGAATGTATCCGCGATAGTTTCCTTGAACAATATGTAATGGAACCTATGAGGGATCAAGCTATCCTAGATCTAGTCCTGTGTTATAAGACAGCAATAATCAATGATCTCACAGTTAGGGATCCTCTCGGAAGGAGCGATCACAGTATGGTCGAATTTAAAATACAGATGGAGCGTGAGAAGGTTAAATCCAGTACCTATGTCCTGTGCTTAAACAAAGGAGACTATGAAGGAATGAGGGAGCTAAGGTAGAATGGGAGCAAAAACTTCATGGTAGGTCAATTGAGGAACAGTGGAGGACTTTTAAAACGATTTTTCACAGTGCTCAGCAGAAGTATATTCCAGTGATACGGAAGAACTGTAGAAAAGAGAGAGCCAGCCATGGATGTCTAAAGAAATAAAGGAAAGTATCAGATTGAAAAAAAAACATATACAAAAAAGCAAAGAGTAGTGGGAAACTAGTAGACTGGGAAATCTTTAAAGGCCAACAGAAAGCCACAAAAAAAAGTTATAAAGAAAAATAAGATAGATTATGAGAGTAAACTAGCTCAGAATATAAAAACAGGCAGCAAAAGTTTCTATAAATATGTAAATCATAACAGAGTGGCGAAGGTAAACATTGGTCCTTTAGAGGATGAGAAGGCCAATTTAATAACTGAGAATGAGGAAATAGCCGAGACATTAAACAGTTATTTCGTGTCGGTCTTCACAGTGGAAGACACAAATAACATGCTGAAAACTAACGGCAAGAAGGTTATAGCAGGTGAGGACCTAGAAACTATCATTATCACTAAGGAGGTAGTGCTGGGCAAGCTAATGGGGCTAAAGGTAGACAAGTCTCCTGGCCCTGATGAAATGCATCCCAGGGTACTAAAAGGGGTGATGGGGGAAAATAGCAAACGCACTAGTAATTATTTACCAAAATTCACTGGACTCTGGGGGTTCCCGCAGATTGGCAAACAGCCAATGTGACGCCACTGTTTAAAAAAGGAAGTAGACAAAAAGCAGGTAACTATAGGCCAGTTAGCTTAACTTCGGTAGTGGGGAAAATGCTTGAATCTATCTTTAAGGAAGAAATAGCAAGACATCTGGATATAAACTGTCCCATTGGGAACACCCAGCATGGGTTCATGAAGGGTAGGTCATGTTTAACTAATTTGGTGGAATTCTTTGAGGACATTACTTTCATGGTGGACAATGGGGAACCTGTGGATGTGGTGTATCTGGATTTCCAGAAGGCATTTGACAAGGTGTCACACCAAAGGCTGCTACATAAGATAAAGTTGCACGGTATTACAGGTAATGTATTGGCATGGATAGAGGATTGGTTGACCAGTAGAAAGCAAACAGTAGGGGTAAATGGGTGCTTTTCTGGTTGGCGGTCAGTGGCTAGTGGTGTGCCTCAGGGATCAGTGTTGGGACCTCAATGTTTACAATTTACATAGATGATTTGGAGTTGGGGACTAAGTGTGGTGTGTCAAAATTTGCAGATGACACTAAGGTGAGTGGTAGAGCAAAGTGTGCAGAAGACACTGAAAGTCTGCAGAGGGATATAGATAGTCTAAGTGAGTGGGCAAAGGTCTGGCAGATGGAGTACAATGTTGATAAGTGTGAGGTCATCCATTTTGGTAGGAATAACAGCAAAATGGACTATGTTTTAAATGGTAAAAAATTGCAGCACGCTGCTGTGCAGAGGGACTTGGGTGTCCTTGTGCATGAATCGCTGAAGGTGGGATTGCACGTGCAGCAGGTGATTAAAAAGGCAAATGGAATTTTGCCTGCCATTGCTCGACGGATGGAGTTTAAAAACAGGGAGGCTATGCTGCAGCCGTATCGGGTCCTGGTGAGGCCACACCTGGAGTACTGTGTGCAGTTTTGGTCTCCTTACTTGAGAAGAGATATACTAGCACTGGAGGGGGTGCAGAGGAGATTCACTTGGTTGATTCCAGAGTTGAGAGGGTTGGATTATGAGGAGAGACTGAGTAGACTGGGATTATACTCACTGGAATTCAGAAGAATGAGGGGAGATCTTGTAGAAACATATAAGATTATGAAGGGAGTAGATAAAGTGGAGGCAGGGAGGTTGATTCTGCTAGCAGATGAAACTAGGACTAGAGGGCATCGCCTCAAAATAAAGGGAAGCAGATGTAGGACTGAGGTCAGGAGGAACTTCTTCATCCAAAGGGTTGTGAATCTGTGGAATTCCCTGCCCAGTGAAGCGGTTGAAGCTACCTCACTGAATGTTTTTAAGGCAAGGCTCGATAAATTTTTGAACAGTAAAGGAATTAAGGGTTATGGTGAGCGGGCGGGTAAGTGGAGCTGAGTCTTAAAAAGATCAGCCATGATCTTATTAAATGGCGGAGCAGGCTTGAGGGGCCAGATGGCCGACTCCTGCTCCTAGTTCTTATGTTCTTATCTCTTCTTATTTTAAAACAGGCCTGAATGGTCCCATTCAGCACTATCCTCCTTCACTCATTTGTCACTTTGACTAACTCTGCCCTCAACCTGTCTCACTTTATTCAAGTCAGAGTTGTGGCTGTAGGTATCTGCATGGATCCTAGCTCTGCCTGTCTCTCTGGGAAAAATGGAACATTCCTTGTTCCAATTGTACTCAACGTCCCCACCCACAACTCTTTCCCTGATACAGTGATGGGGTCATCAGCAGTGGTCTTGTCCAGAACTGGAAAAGTAATCAATTTTGCTTCCAATTTCTGTTTTTCCTTCACCTGGTCTATCTCTGACTATTCGCTTCCCTTCCTGAACTTCACTGTTCCAATTTTTAACGACAGGCATATCCACCAATATCCATTACAAACCCACTGACTTCCAAAGTTACCTCGGTTGTACTTCCTCATACCCAGCTTCCTGCAAGAATTCCACTCCATTTTCCAGTTTCTCCATCTGTTCACATCAGTTCTGATGATGCGTCCTTCCACTAGGATACCTCTGACGTGTCCTCCTTTTTTCTCAATAGAGGATCTTCCCTCACTGTGGTTAACAGGGCCCTCAACTGTGTCTGCATTCCCACCCTCATTCTTTCCCCTCTCCTTGATCTCCTCAAACAATAGGGTCTCCCTTGTCCTCACTTTCAAACTGACCCATCTCTGAATTCGCAAGATCATTTTCCATCACTTATGCCTTCTCCAGCAGGATACCACCACCAAACATATGTTCCCTTCCCTTCCACTGTCAGAATCCCACACAGACTGTTTTTTCTGTGACACCTGATCCACAATTCCTCACTCTTAACACTTCCTCACTCTTCATGGCACCTTCTCTTGCAATTGTAGACAATGTAACACTTACCCATTTACTACCTCCCTCCTTACCATCCAGGTGAAGCTGCATTATACACATACAACAGACTGAATTGAAAGATGTATTTGCTGCACATTGTGTGGTCTCCTTTACACTGGAGAGACCGAATACAGATTGGGTGGCCATTTTGTGGAGCCCCACCACTCTGTCCGTAGGAATGGCCCAAACCTTCCAGCTGATTTCCATTTCAATAAATCACTTTGCTTCCATGCTAACATTTCCATCTTTGGCATTCTACAAAGTTCCAACAAAGCTCAACACAGGATGGGGAGCAGCGTATGCACTTTAGAGCCTCTTGGACTCAATACTGAGTTTCACAAATTCAGATGACCTCGGTATTCCATTTTTCTTATATAACTTCCCCACCCCCACCACCCCCACCCCATGGGCCTTTTTTTGTAGCTTGTTCACTTTTCTCTCAGTAGAACAGATCCATTTTCTTTTTTTCACAGCTAACATTTACACTTATTTTGCATATCTATCACCTCTTTACCATCTTTGGCTCTGGATATGCTTACCATCTGTTCCACTCACTCCTCCTCCCCTTTTGTCACTAACATAAAAATATAATTTTCCAGCTCCTTTCAGTTCTGAAGAGCAGTCATACTGGATATGAAATGTTAACTCTTATTTTTTTTCTCCACAGGCGCTGCCAGACCTGAGTTTTGCTAACAATTTGTTTTTATTTCAGATGTCTGGTATCAGCAGTATTTTGCTTTTATTTATGGGTTCAAGTTTCAGAAGGCCTGGCGATATCTCAACAGGTTGATTAAAAAAAACTTTATAAATATAATGATAGTCAGCTGGGACACCAAGTTATGATTAGGAAGCAGAGATCTGTAATACACTTTCCAGAAAATAACCTACTATTAGGAAAAGAATTGTATCTGATTTTGTATTTCACCATTTGAGTTGGATTCATTCAACAGAATGCACTGCTTGAGAATGAGTGGAGGCAGATTCAAACACAGGCTGTAAAAGAAAATTAGGTAAGTGTCTGACTAGAACAGAATTTGAAGGTTACGGAGAAAAGACAGGGAATGGGAGCTGGTCAGTTGTCAAGAACTGGCATGAAAACAATCAGCTGAATGGATTCCTCCTGTGCTGTAACCATTCTACAACTCTATGATTCAATGTGTAAATGTACAAATCTTGCATACTGACAGATCTAAATGGTGTAAGATATAGAAACAGACCTTTGAAATCTATTGCTACTCAAAAATTAGTAGTGTTTCTTCATAGAGTCATAAAGACCCTTTGGTCCAACTTGTCCAAGCCGACCAAGTCTCCCAAACTAAACTAGTTCCACTTGACTGCGTTTGGCTCATATCCCTCTAAACCTTTCCTATTCATGTACCTGTCCAAATGTCTGTTAAATGTTGTAACTGCATCTGCCTCTATCACTTCCTCTGGCAGATCATTCCACATATGAACCACCTTCTGTCTGAAAAAGATGCTCCTTTCCAGGTCCCTTTTAAATCTTTCTCCTTTGACCTTAAAAAATTAGTTTTGAACTCACCCACACTAGGGAAAAGACCTTTGCTATTCACCTTATTTATGCCCCTCATGGATTTTATAAACTTCTATAAGGTCACCCCTCAACCTCCTACGTGTCAGTGAAAAAAGTCCCAGCATATCGATATAACTTAAACCCTCCAGTACTGGCAATATCCTGGTAAGTCTTTTTGAATCCTCTCCAATTTCAATAATATCCTTCCTATAACAGGGTGACCAGAACTGTATGCAGTACTTGAAAAGTGACCTCAAAGTCCTTGACAACCCCAAAATGAGTGGCACAGCGGCTAACACTGATGCCTCACAGCGCCAGGGACCCAGGTTCAATTCTATCCTTGGGCGACCGTCTGTGTGGAGTTTGCACATTTTCCTCATGTCTGCAAGGGTTTCTGCCAAGTGCTCCGGTTTCCTCCCACAATCCAAAGATGTGGATTGACCTTGTTAAATTGCCCATGGTGTTCAGGGATGTGTAGCTTAGGTGTGTTAGCCATGGGAAATGCAGAGTTACAGGTTAAGGGTGGGGGGTGGTGGCTCTGGGTGGGATGCTCTTCGGAGGGTCGGTGTAGACTTGTTGGGCCGAATGGTCTGTTTCCACAATTAGGGATTCTATGACTTCCCAACTCCTGTACTCAATGGTGTGAGCAATGAAGGCGAACATGCTAAACGCCTTCTTAACCACCATGTCTATCTGTGATGCAACTTTCAAAGAACTATGTACCTAAACCCCTAGGTCTCACTGTTCAACAACACCACCCAGGGCCCTACCATTAACTGTATAAGTACTGAACTTGTTCGTTTTACCAAAATGCAATACCTCACGTTTATCCAAATTCAAGTCCATCTGCCACTCCTCAGCCCATTGGCCCAATTGATCAAGATCCTTAGTAATCTTAGATAATCTTCTTCACTGTTGACTATACCACCAATTTTGGTGTTATCCACAAACATACTAACCATGCCTCCTAAATTCTCATCCAAGTTGTTCGTATAAGTGACAAACAAAATGTTGGAAAACCTGCAAAGCCAGAGGAAGGAGCAACTGAGTTAGGCTTCCTTCACCCTTCTCTTTCAAATAAGTGCAAACAGAATTATCAGCTATGATCAATATAGTTATAACCATTAGCTCTTCAGACAGTGCTTCCATAATCAGGAACTGAACATTATGTTTCTACCCAGCTCATTGAGAACCCTTAATATTTTCCATGATGGCCTTAATGTTCATAAATATAATCGAAGAAAGTAAATTTCAATCTTGTGATGATGGCTGGGGTGTGAATGGCGATTTGCACATAATCTTAATTAAATGTCACATCCAGGTTATATCACTGGCTATATCTTCAGTCATTTCATTCTCACTTTGCAATTACACTAAAGATGCTTTGTTACAATTGAGTGCAAATCAAAGCAATTTACAGAGAAGGCCTTTAATCCTAGTACCCTGTACTCAGTCTGCACACAGCAGACATCAGTGCAAAGATGGCTTTTTGCAGTTTGGATCCAACAAAGTTCTGTAAGGCTAAGTAAAGAATAAAAACTTGAAAATTAAAACCCATACGGCTGTCCCAACTAAGGAACAAAGTTAACAAATTTAAAAATTGCTGATTTTGCCTGCACGCGTGATGTCTTCAAAACATCATGGTCAGAAGAATTCCTACTGTCACAAATCAAGTTTTGAGGCATCTAAACCAGAAGCAATGGATGCTCCACAGGACAATACTTAAATTCAAATCCTTTTTTTTCCCCCCCTGTTAGTTTTAAGGTATCAATTGAGATAAAAGTAACTTTGCTAGAGTAAGTTGGGGCGCAGAATACTGCATATAGATGCCAAAAGTTTACTTTTACTTCTGATCAATTGCAATTAACCTGATGGATAAATGTATTTTGAACATAGCTGCTTAACTAATTGACTGGAATTCTTTGAGGACATTATGACTGTGGTGGACAACAGGGAACCGGATGGATGGTGTATCTGGATTTCCAGAAGGCATTCAACAAGGTGTCACACAAAGGGCTGCTGCATAAGATAAAGGTGCACAGTATTATAGGCAATGCATTAGCATGGACATAAGATTGATTAACAAGCAGAAAGCAAACAGTGGGGATAAATGGGTGTTTTTCAGGTTGGCAATCAATGGCCAGTGGTGTGCCTTAGAGGTCAGTGTTAGGACTGCAATTGTTTACAATTTACATCGATGATTTAGAGTTGAGGATCAAATGTAGTATGTCAAAACTTGCAGATGACACTAAAATGAATGGTAGAGCAAAGTGTGCAGAGGACACAAAGTCGCAGAGGGACATAGATAGGTTAAGTGAGTGGTATGACTCTCGCAGATGGAGTACAATTAAGGTAAATGTGAGGTCATTCATTTTGGTAGGAATAACAGCAAAATGGACTATTACTTAAACTGGTGAAAAATTGCAGCATGCTGCTGTGCAAAGGGACCTGGATATCCTTGTGCATGAATCACAAAATGTTGGTTTGTAGGTGCAGCAGGTAATTAAGTAGGCAAAATCCTTCATTGCTGGATGGATGGAGATTAAAAATAGGGAGGTTGTGCTGCAGCTGTATAGGGTGCTGATGAGGCCACACTTGGAGTACTATGTACAGTTTTGGTTTCCTTACTTGAGAAAAGATGTACTGGCACTGGAGGGGGCGGAGAGGAGGTTCACTGGGTTTATTCCAGAATTGTACCAATGGTTATGAGAAGAGATTGAGTAAACTGGGACTATACTCATTGGAACTTAGAAGAATGAGGGGGGAATTGTACAGAAACATATAAAATTAAAGGGAATAGATAAGATTGAAGCAGGGAGGGTGTTTCCACTGGTGGATGAAACTAGAACTAAGCAAAGCAAGGGAGAGCAGATCTAAGACTGAATCGAGGAAGAACTTCTTCACCCAAAGGGTTGTGACTCTGTGGAATTCCTTGCCAATGAAGCAGTTGAGGCTACCTCATTGAATGTTTTTAAGGCAAAGATAGATAGATTTTTGATCAGTAAAAGAATTAAGGATTATGGTGAGTGGGCAGGTAAGTGGAGCTGAGTCCACAAAAAGATCAGCCATGATCTTACTGAACGGCGAGCAGGCTCAATGGGCCAGATGACCTACTCTTGCTCCTATTTCTTATGTTCTTATCACAGTTTATGAATGTCATTCAACAAAATGTCACACCTACAGTCATACTTATAGCCCAATATCACCTTGATTATATGTAACATTTTGTTTTAAAATAAATTCCATTTGAGATTCGATCCTGATACCTCCAGCTGCAGTCCTGGTGTACACTGGCAACTTTTTAGCAGCATCCAAGAGAATTTGCTTTTGTACTTCAGGCCTTTCTTCTCGCTCGTACCTTTCTTTATCAGCTCTGCTCAATTGGAACTATAAGCACATAAAAGATGCAACAAAATCATACATTTTTTTGATTGATTCATCCCTAGAACATGGATATTATTGGAAAGGCCAGCATTTACTGTCCATCTCTAACCATTCTTAAGATGATGGTAGTTTGCTATCTTCTAGAAGCACTACATGCTGTGTTGAAGTTGCTCTCCCATAGTACTTGTAGGTAGGGAGTTCAAGGACTTTAACAGAAGGACAGCAATATATTTTCAAGTCAGAATGGTAATGTGATTTGGACAGGAACTTGACTAGGCTTGTATTCCTGTGCACCTGCTGTCTTTGTTCTTCTAGGTGGTTGAGCCTATGCATTTGGGGGCTGCTGTTGAAGCAGTCTTGGTACATTGCTGAAAAAAGACACATAGAGCCAAAACTGTTCTTTTTTCAGCAATACTTAAGATTGTAATACCAAATGGCAAGTCGAGGTGTGTTGCTGCCACACATCTCGGAGATGGTACACAATGCAATCACAATATGTCAATGGTAGACTGAATGAATTTTAAAGTGGCAGTTAGGGTGTAAATCAAGTGGGCTGCTTTGACTTGGATCTTCCTGAGGTTGAAGTTATTGTTGAAGCTGCACTCATAGAATCACAGAATTTTACAGTACAGAAGGAGACCATTCAACCCACCATGTCTGTACCGGTTCCTGAAACAGTTACCCAGCTACTCCTACCTCTGTAGCCCTCTAACTTCAATCCTTTCAAATATATATCCAGCTCTCTTTTGAAACCTCCTATGGAATCCACATCCACCAGTCTCCTAAGCAGCGCATTCCAAATCCTAACAACTTTTACAGTAAAGAAGTTTCTCCTCATCTCCAAGCTCTCTTGCTGACAATCTTGAAATTGTGACCCTTAGTTACTGACACACCAACCAATGGAAGCAGAATATCCTTCCATAGAACATAGAACATAACAGCACAGTACAGGCCCTTCGGCCCTCGAAGTTGCGCCGACCTGTGAAACCAATCTGAAGCCCATCTAACCTACACTATTCCATTATCATCCATATGTTTATCCAATGACCATTTAAATGCCCTTAAAGTTGGCAAGTCTACTACTGTTGCAGGCAGGGCATTCCACGCCCTTACTACTCTCCGAGTAAAGAACCTACCTCTGACATCTGTCCTATATCTATCACCCCTCAATTTAAAGCTATGTCCCCTCGTGCTAGCCATCACCATCCGAGGAAAAAGGCTCTCACTGTCGACCCTATCTAATCCACTGATCATTTTGTATGTCTCTATGAAGTCACCTCTTAACCTTCTTCTCTCTAACGCAAACAGCCTCAAGTCCCTCAGCCTTTCCTCATAAGACCTTCCCTCCATACCAGGCAACATCCTGGTAAATCTCCTCTGCACCCTTTCCAATGCTTCCACATCCTTCCTATAATGCGGTGACCAGAACTGTACGCAATACTCCAAGTGCGGCCGCACCAGAGTTTTGTACAGCTGCAACATGACCTCATGGTTCCGAAACTCAATCCCCCTACCAATAAAACCTAACACACCGTACGCCTTCTTAACAACCCTATCAACCTGGGTGGGAACTTTCAGGGATCTATGCACATGGACACCGAGATCTCTCTGCTCATCCACACTACCAAGAATCTTACCATTAGCCCAGTACTCTGTATTCCTGTTACACCTTCCAAAGTGAATCACCTCACACTTTTCCACATTAAACTCCATTTGCCACCTCTCAGCCCAGCTCTGCAGCTTATCTATGTCCCTCTGTAACCTGCAACATCCTTCCGCACTTTCCACAACTCCACCGACTTTAGTGTCATCCGCAAAATTACTAACCCATCCTTCTACGCCCTCATCCAGGTCATTTATAAAAATGACAAACAGCAGTGGCCCCAAAACAGATCCTTGCGGTACACCACTAGTAACTGAACTCCAGGATGAACATTTCCCATCAAACACCACCCTCTGTCTTCTTACAGTTAGCCAATTTCTGATCCAAACCGCTAAATCACCCTCAAACCCATGCCTCCGTATTTTCTGCAATAGCCTACCGTGGGGAACCTTATCAAACGCTTTACTGAAATCCATATACAGCACATCAACCGCTTTACCATCATCCACCTGTTTGGTTACCTTCTCAAAGAACTCAATAAGGTTTGTGAGGCACGACCTACCCTTCACAAAACCGTGTTGACTATCCCTAATCAAATTATTCCTTTCTAGATGATTATAAATCCTATCTCTTATAATCCTTTCCAACACTTTACCCACAACCGAAGTAAGGCTCACTGGTCTATAATTACCAGGGTTGTCTCTACTCCCCTTCTTGAACAAGGAGGCAACATTTGCTATGCTCCAGTCTTCTGGCACTATTCCTGTAGACAATGACGACATAAAGATCAAAGCCAAAGGCTCTGCAATCTCCTCCCTAGCTTCCCAGAGAATCCTAGGATAAATCCCATCTGGCCCAGGGACTTATCTATTTTCATACTTTCCAGAATTGCTAACACCTCCTCCTTATGAACCTCAATTCCGTCTAGTCTAATAGCCTGTATCTCAGTATTCTCCTCGACTACATTGTCTTTTTCCTGTGTGAATACTGACGAAAAATATTCATTTAGCGCCTCCCCTATCTCTTCGGACTCCACGCACAACTTCCCACTACTGTCCTTGACTGGCCCTAATCTTACTCCAATCATTCTTTTATTCCTGACATACCTATAGAAAGCTTTAGGGTTTTCCTTGATCCTACCTGCTCAAGACTTCTCATGTCCCCTCCTGGCTCTTCTTAGCTCTTTCTTTAGGTCCTTCCTGGCTAACTTGTAACTCTCAAGCGCCCTAACTGAGCCTTCATGCCTCATCTCTACATAAGCCTCCTTCTTCCTCTTCAACTTCTTTAGTAAACCACGGTTCCCTCGCTCGACCACTTCCTCCCTGCCTGACAGGTACATACTTATCAAGGACACGCAGTAGCTGTTCCTTGAATAAGCTCCACACTTCAATTGTGCCCAGCCCCTACAGTTTCCTTCTCCATCCTATGCATCCTAAATCTTGCCTAATCGCCTCATAATTGCCTTTCCCCCAGCTATAACTCTTGCCCTGCGGTATATACCTATCCCTTTCCATCGCTAAAGTAAACATAACCGAATTGTGGTCACTATCACCAAAGTGCTCACCTACCTCCAAATCTAACACCTGGCCTGGTTCATTACCCAGTACCAAATCCAATGTGGCCTCGCCTCTTGTTGGCCTATCTACATACTGTGTCAGGAAACCCTCCTGCACACATTGGACAAAAACTGACCCATCTAAGGTACTCGAACTACAGCATTTCCAGTCAATATTTGGAAAGTTAAAGTCCCCCATGACAACTACCCTGTGACTTTCGCTCCTATCCAGAATCATCTTTGCAATCCTTTCCTCTACATCTCTGGAACTTTTTGGAGGCCTATAGAAAACTCCCAACAGGGTGACCTCTCCTTTCCTGTTTCTAACCTCAGCCCATACTACCTCAGTAGACGAGTCCTCATCAAACATCCTTTCTGCCACCGTAATACTGTCCTTGACTAACAATACCACACCTCCCCCTCTTTTACCACCTTCCCTGATCTTACTGAAACATCTAAACCCCGGAACCTGCAACAACCATTCCTGTCCCTGCTCTATCCATGTCTCCGAAATGGCCACAACATCGAAGTCCCAGGTACCAACCCATGCTGCAAGTTCACCCACCTTATTCCGGATGCTCCTGGCGTTGAAGTAGACACACTGCAAATCACCTTCCTGCCTGCCGGTACACTCCTGCGACCTTGAAACCTTATTCATGACCTCACTACTCTCAACCTCCTGTACACTGGAGCTACAATTCAGGTTCCCATCCCCCTGCTGAATTAGTTTAAACCCTCCCGAAGAGCATTAGCAAATTTCCCCCCTAGGATATTGGGACCCATCTGGTTCAGGTGTTCTGGTTCCCTGTCAAAATTGTTCATAATTTTGAACACCTCAATAAGGTCACCTCTTAATCTTCTCTGCTCGAAGAAGAACAAGCCCAATCTCTCCTTGTATTTAAAATTCTTCATTGCTGGTACCATTCTAGTAAATCTCCTTTGAACTCTCTCCAGGACTTTGAACATGCTTCCTTAAATAAACTACCCAGAACACAATAGTCCAAATGTGGTCTAACCAATGATTTGTAGAAGAGTAGCATCACTTCCTTGTTCCTATACTCTGCCTCTATTTATAAACCCAAGGATCCCACAAACCTTCTTAACAGCTGTGTCAACTTGCATGGCCTATTTCAGAGAATTATGCATTGAACCAGAGGTTCCTCTGCTGCTATACTCATCTCAAAGTTGGATATTTAAGCCCGTATTGTGTCTCTGTATTTCTTCTACCAAAATGCATTACCTCACGCTTCACTGCACTGAAATTCATTTGCCACGGGTCTGCCTATTTGGTCAACTTGTTGATGTACATCTGAAGTTGCTGGCATTATCCTCACAATTTAAAATTCTCCCTAGCTTAGCATCATCGGCAAATTTCGAGATTTTGCCCTCAACACACATTTCCAAATTGTTTATAAAAATCAGATAAAGCAAGGGTCCCAACACCGATCCCTGGGGAAAGCAACTTTCAACTTGTCTCCAATCTAAGGAATGCCCATCTAAACCTAACCTCTGTTTCCAATTTTTAGCCAACTTCTATCCATGCTGCCAAGGGCCCATCAATTTCAAACATTTCTAATTTGCTAACCAACTTGTCATGTGACACTGGATTAAATGCTTTCTGAAAGTCCAACTATAAAACATCCACAGCACTATCATCATCCACTGGCTGTGTCAGCTTGTCAAAGAACTCAATTACATTTGTCAGACGTGACCAGCCCTTGACAAAGCCATATTGACTATCTGGTATTAACTTATTTTCTCTAAGTGTATATTATGGTCTCCGTCAGTTTTCCCACTATTGATATCATCCAGGCAAGTGGCAAGTATTCCATCACACTTCTGACGTGTGTCTTATTAGATGCTGTAAAAGCTTATAGAATCAGGAGATGAGTTTATAAAATACACAGCCTCTGATTTATTTTTATAGCAATCATTTTAATGTGACTGGTCCAATTACATTTTTGGTCAATAGTATCATTAATGCTTGGAGTTTTGTGATGGTAAAATTACTGTCGAGAGAATGCAAAAGTGTCAAAACAAAATGGGTGAACAACACTGGAGTATGAAGCATTAGCCAGAGTTCGATTCTAACAGCAAAAAATTAGAAAGGTTGTCAGAAGGCCCTAAAATTCCTCTTACCCCTATAAATTCTCAAGCTGATTCATTCTCACAGCTTGTTGCTAGTTACCATCAGGTCTAGCTCTGCAAAACACAACGGATAATACACAAAAGAATCTAAATCTGCTCCTAAAAAGAGCAAGCTCTTAGTCTATGATTTTGTTTTGTAGAATCTATCTGCAACAATTATTTTAAAACCAAAGACCTGTTGCACTCTAGTGCCGTTTGTTGAGCACTAGTTTGTAGTTATCCAAAGCACATATTTAAATTGACGAATTCACTCAGAACCTAGAAGCAGGGTTTCTGCTATTCATTCAAAAAGGAAGCAAAAGTCAGGAGTTGTCCTGCCTGACCACTACATCAGTTGCTGTCTCACTATCTTTAACAACCAGTCAAAGTAGGGTCTGCCAATGGTCTGAAGCAGGCTACCTACCCAGCTCCAAAGGCACAAGTCTGAAAACAGCTAATATAAATAATAATTATAATGGGAAACGCAGAACAAAAAGAAAGTTAAAGACCTTACTGTT